AAAAAAGAGGACAATGCCATAAGCTTGTTATCAAATATTTATGAAGCAATTTATAGTTTAACAGAAATAGGGCTTCCCACACCTTTGAATGCATCCTGAGGAACTCAAAAAGATGCTATAAATTTATTTTTAGTGGGCAAAATATTAGATGATTCAGCATTGAAAAGTTTACATTTACAAAATCAACTCTGCTTTTCTGAGATTTCCTCCTTTCAATAAATTGTATTTGGATGCAAAATTCAGTCAGGGTTCCAGCGAGGTCCAATCTTAGGTGCACTTTACATTCATACTCCCTCTGCCAAGAAATGCCCCAACATCCTGTAGCCTTGTCTAGAACTGATAGCTCTGCTTAGCTGCATCCTTGGTGAGAGACAGACACAGTCACCTTTGTGACAAAATACTCGGCCTGTAAATCGTGTACATGTCACAGCAAGTCTAGCACCCAGACCACAGATGAGCTCATAATCCTTCTGGAACATAAGGTACTTTGCATATTTAGCCATCACACACAGCTGGGATGGGTTGTAATCACCGTTTCATAAGTGGAAATGGAGGTGTAGAAAGGTTAAATGGCTTGTCCAAGGGCACAGAGAGGAGCTGGGTCTTAGAACCTGGAGAAGAAACCCTTCAGGGTTGCCATCTTTTCCTTGCTCTGATTAAACAACACAAGCAACATCCGAATTGCAGTTTGGTTTATCCCCCCTCTCAGTTTAAAGGAATAAACTGGAGCCTGATTCTATTTTAGAAAAGTGTTTTTATTAGAAATAAAAGTGAGCTTTTATCTAGCCAGTTGGAATCATTTCTAGAATGGCAGGGAAATATGTACGGTGAGAGAGAGTTAGAGAAACAGATTGGTTTTGAGAACCACAACCCAATTCTGCTCTCTAGTACCATGAGAATTCTCCTCTCCACTGCCTAATGCCTAAAGAATGTTATTGTGTACCTGCCAGTCAAAACTGGCAAAAGGTCATATTTCAGTTTTTGGTCTGGTCTCTGCTACTCAAACATATCAACCCCTTATATGCTAGCAAATGGAAATTTGATTTGGGCTCTCTTGACAGTTGAGAAGGTCTCTTCTGAGTAAGTATGGATGGAGGATGATGAAGGAAAACATCAACAATAGAGTTCTTTGGCCTTGGAGGAAAAAAACACAGAAAGAACAGTGACTCAAAATGTCTAATCCTTGTGTATTAAAATGACTGGGAACTCTAAGTCTTGTGTTATTTGGCGGCTTCACCACGGATAGAAGAGAATTTCCCAACCAGGTGGCTTTCTTGGCATACGTAAGCATGGAAAAAGATGCTTCGAATATTGTGTGCTTCCAATGTGTGTGAGCCTTCTCCACTTATTTAGCATTATTAAGGAGCTACAATTTTATCAAACAGAAAACATATGCAAACACCTGTCAGTTCTTATGCTTTCATATTTACATTAGAAGGCATTAAATCAATCGTATTGCAGAAGAAAATTTGATAAGCACTTTCTGGAAATTTGCATAATGTCTTCTGATTAATAAAGGATGAATGCTGTCCAACTAGGTTTAATGACAAATTCATAAGAAGAAAAACCAAACGATAATAGCAACCTAAAAAAGGCAGTCTCGGCACAGACCTACTTTTATAGGAAATGCTTTTTTTTAACTGATGTGGGCTGGTGAGGTGGTATTATTATTATTATTAGTTATGCAACTGAAAACACCTTCACTTGGCTAAGGCTTTCTGAGAGTGTCGTCACCTGACAGAGTCGCCTGCTTAGAACCGGCAAGCGATGGGAGTTCTCAAGCCGGGACAGAACCAGGAAAGGCTGCTCCGGAGTTGACTTTTTTTATTTGGGTCCTTCCACTTTCCAGGCCTCCCAATCAACTGAAGAGTCTGGGAGGTAGAGACAAGGGCAATAAAGGAGGACCACCACACCAAGGAACAGAGAAACAGAGGGATTCAGAAAGGTTCCGGCTAAGTCATTCCAAGGCTAGAGGTTAACATAACAACCGAAAAAAATAAAATTGGGCGAAGGGTGGTAAATAAAAAGAGAAAAAGGAAAACTTTTTTACTGGAGGGAATTAAAATTATAGCAACATGGAAATGGCTAACTTAATTAAAAAGGAAAACATATATTCAAAGAAAGAATGAGGAAAAGCTACCAAGCTGTAGAAACAAAACACTGTCTCTAATTGAATTTAGCAATAATATGAGATTCAAATGTAATTAAGAAAATGATAAAAAGGAAAGCAGAATAAAAAGAATGAAAGTACTTATAACTTTTATTATCTATACAACTGAACTGTTTTCTTAAATAACAAGCACAAATGGAGAATTAAAGTATGAGAAGAAGCATATTTTTAATAATTTTTCTTGTGAAATTGCAGACTCGGAGAAAGACTTGTACGAATCCAAACCTGTATCTATAGCCATCTCCACCTCATTCATCAACTGCTACCCAAACTTCCGCCCCAGCTACCTAAGACGAGCCTCCGGGCACTCTCTCCCCTCAGCATTACCTGCCGGAGGTTGCGTGTCACTTTGACATCGTGCCAGGCGTTGTCGTTGAATTTTCCATTCACTGGCTCCACGATGGCCTCGAAGGCCCCGGACCCCAGGTTAATGACCAAGGAGACCGCGCCATCCTTCAGAGCCAGGTTGACATAGTCAGCCGACTTGCCCGTGTGGAGGATGAGCCCATTCCGCTGCCAGGTCTTAAAGGACAGGGTGATTTCATCACTGCTGCTCTGGATTGGGTTCTGAGACAGGTCGTAGCACAGGTACTCTGAGCCTCGGAAAGTGGCCACATTCTCCTCTCGAGCTGCAGGAGAAAAAAAAAAAAACAAGAGGAAAGCAGTTAATGCATGAGTCAGATCTCTGCAAACACCAAGGAGGACACACCCCCAGGGTACTGCCCCTGCCAGTGGGCCGACACCAGCACAATGCTCCCTCCAAATCTTCCACAAGACTTATATCTCAGCACCATGGAAACCAGCAGAGAAAGAAACTGCAGAGAAGCTATATGTACATACAAGGGTAGAAGACCAGCACGATGGTACAGGAGAGCTTGCTGCCTTCTCTTCAGATTTTCTCCAAAAAAAAAATCCTGAAGGGAAATTTCATGTGAAATGGTAAAGTGAGGTTTACATTGCTTTTGCTTCAAGGATGGCTTTTAAACGCTTGTAGAAGAGCTGGTTTAGAATGGATAATTAACTGTTCTGACAAAAGGTTCTTTAGCTCTATGTAACTTTTATTGACCAAAAACTAAAAATCAATTACCCTGAAAGATCTGGCTTTGATTTCTGTCCATCAATAACCCAGCTAACTTTGGTTTCCATGGTAGAGTCCTAAGCCCAGGGGAACATGACTGGATTATTAAACAGAAGGCTGTATCTGAGAAGGTTATCAAGTAGATGAGGAAAAGGGAACAGAATGGAATTTGGTGATATGCTTTGACAAGACAGCAGTGCCTCCCTTAGACTAAAGGGACCTCTGCTCTGAGGCTCTCATGTTTTAGATGGCTCTAGTCAGACTACCTTTCCCCATAAAACTAGGAGTCCACAAGGCCAAGATGGCATTCCACTAGAGCGATACTCTCTTTCAAGACCGTGTTCCTCCAGACACTGGGACCCTGTAATTCCCTACCCAAAGAGCCCCAAGTCTGTTTCCAGGGCTTGTGCAGGTCTCTTCCCTCAGTCTACTTTTTGAAGAAAAATCATGCTGTCAAAGTGCACACTTCAAGGTCTGGGGGCCAGCCCTGGCGGCCTGGGGCATCCATGTGCATTTATAACAGACCCTTTGTGATATAGGATGGAGCTAAAGGCGGGAAGAGGAGGGGGACAGGCACAGGCCACAGGCTGAGGACCAGAGGGACTCTCTGTGCTAGCATTTCCAGTGCAGAACTCTGAGGAATCCAAAGATTCTAAATGTGAACCTGGCTTACCAGGTAGTTTCAAAGGTCTATTTGTCAAGGCAAGATGATAGAATATATTTTATTTCATCATTTGTTCCTGTGATATATAATTTCGACACACTGCATATGGACTTCCATTCGTCCTCTTGTAAGGCAGCATCACTTAGAGAGGCCTACTTCATACCAGGGTTGGTCACGAGCTAGCAAAAGCGCCTCATTAATGGGCAATAATACAAGGTTAGATATTCAGTTTCCTTCTAAGGCAAGGGAACTACAAAATAAGGTTGAGAGAATTCTATTTTCCCTTCAAAAACTACACTTCGGCCTTATTAACCAAAACCAATTCTGCCTCAACTCAAATCCTCACAGTCCTTGGTAAGTCACTTAAGTAAAATGAAACAAATATTTTCTCACCATAAGGTAAGAGCTGTAAAGAAGTCACTCCTATAATGTGGAGAGATGACCACCCACTACATACCATTAAATTAATCATAGCACCCTTAAATCATCAAAACATGAACCTCGACTTCACACTCCAGAGAGGTAAAGAAGAGATAAGTTTGTCCTAGTCCACTAGAGGGACTCAATGACATGTGTCTACCCGCACATTTCTGTTTGCACACACATACTGGTATAAGCAAAAGGGATCTATCCACTTTAATAAATAATAAATAACCACAGTGTCTCTTATACACATACTACAAGAAGCAAGTACTACTCAGCACATAACCTATGCCTGATATGTTTTACCAAAAATAGCCAAAAAAATCATAGAGTAAAAATTTAACACAACATTTACGTTTGAAATAGATCCCCCTGGTGACCTATCTATTGTCATGATCGCTCCTCTCATTCCTACAGAAATGGCTTTGTTAAAACGCAACTGGACAAGCAGCCTTTGTCCAGTAGCCCTGGAGGGGAACCTGATCTACAGTAGAAGATGGTAAATCAAACAAAGTTATGACCACTAAGCTCTTTGCCTACAGACACAGATATGCACAGAGCCAACACCTATGCCTGTCCTTGGCACCCACGTGGTATATTAATGGGTGTCTTCTGTAAACATTTAAGTTATTGAACTGAGATAAATGAGCAAGGAAAGGAGGCCTCTAAAGAGCAGCTGAATCGTCAAGTACCCTTTAGAGGGGGAGGGCTTGTCACAGAACAGCAAGGCACCAGGGTATTAATGTGCTACACGGTACTTAATACTTTTCTTATAATTAGACCAAGGGATCTGTCAAAATAATATATTTTAGATCTATGAGGAATTTTGGAGATTGCCTGATATAATGCCTTTGTTTGATTATGGAAGAAACCTGTGACTAGGAATAAGAGAGTTGCCTGAGAGAACAATGAGTGTTATTTGGGACTTCTAAAGCGCCTCTGGGCGTTTCTCTAAATACCAGTCACCTTTCCCTGGCCCTTCACTCTGGATATACCACAGGTTCCTTCTCTACTTCTTAAAGGGCATGAATGATTCTATGGAATCGTGCCTTGACTTACAAACCATCCCAAATCTTGGATAAATGGAGTCAGAAACTTATTCTCCCCTCCCTGTGTAACTCATGCTTCCTCAACAACAGAAATATTTTCCTTCCTCCCCTGGAATCCGGGTGTGTTTAAAACACAAGAACTTGCTTTATGTAGAAGGCCGTGGAAGGAAAATGACATCATTGTAAATGACAATGATGTCAATGACATCATCACAATAAATAAACAAGAAATATAACCAATGTGAGGGAAAACTGTCTATGTAAATCACATGCATATTTATGCAAATTAACCAAAAGTAACCAAATATCTTCTTTTGCAAGTATCTAATAAAAACTGCTGCAACAGTTCACAACCTTCCCAGTCTCTGCACACAATGATGAATTTCCCCAGTTTCTCTCTTCCCTGAACTGGAGGAGGCCACCAAGAGCACAGCACTGCAGATACCAGGTACCCCCTCCACTCGTCAACAAACAACAGACAACTGAAAGCTACTCTCTGAAACATATAATGGATAAGCACTATCATATCATGTTTAATTCATGGGATACTTTCCTACTGATTTCTACGGGGAGGAGAGGCATGGGCAGTGCATGATCCAGTCTTCAGAAGAGCAAATAAGGGGCGTCGATGGAAAAAGAGGACCTTGAAGACACTGTTCCTTTTTATACTCTCACAAATGACCTTTTTCCACTAAGATCCCAATCTGTCTTAATTTCCTTCCAGTAGCTAAGGCTCGAGTTATTTTCTTATCACCTTGAAAATCATACTAGCTTACAGTGAACATAAAGGTATAAAACCAAACAGTGACAAACCCACATCTCCAAGCCCATTCAATTCTCTACACTCTCCACTAAAAAAAAAGGTAACGCTGCTCAAATTCTGTTTTCTATACTTGGTGTGTACACTAGGAAGGAGGTTGAAGAGACAATGCAGTCACCTTGCACGCATTCAAGCTAAATAGGTAGAGAAAATGAATGCAGGGGATTATGTAACACAGTACACAACAGCTTAGCATAAAGTACAGCTTGGCAAGAGGGTAGGCACTGACATGGCTAATGGACTGTTTAGATCCATTTAAATTATATCACTCTAAAATTCGCAATCAATTGCATGAGTGTTAAAATAAAAATATTATTCTCACTGCATGAGAAGCAGAACTTGACTCTAGGACAACAAATCATTTACCCATTATTTGTAAGTGTACAATTGATTAAACATTAGATGCAATCTAGATATGTACAACTCAAAATTTTAAATCAGATGTATAAGATATGTAAAGCACTGGTTTTTCAAATGGCTTGTTAATCCCAGTACTGATATATATATAGCATTAATAAGCATTTACTCAATTCTATTTTCCATTCTCTCACCCAAAAAAAAACACCCAAATAATGATGTATATAATAACTCTATTTCTCTGAGAAATTTCAAAACGCATTAAAATGTTCAATATATTATTTTTTATTATGCAATCTAAGAAGCGTGGAGAAATGCATATCACTGTTTAATTGGACCCTTGGCTCCTGATACCTTGGCGTCTTAGGCTTTGAGATCAAGAAATCTGGACTTTATTCTGAAGGTTATGAGGAACGATTACATAAATTTACTGAGAGGATAGAGGGTCCAACTTACATTTTTAAAAGATCGCACTGAGAGTAAACTGGAAGAAAGAGATAACTGAAGGCAGAGAGCGAAAAGACGAGAACACATATGAACTACTTTTCCAGGGGGTGCCTTGGACTGGTCTGACCTGGATGGTGATATAGTTCTCAAGTGAGGTTTGCATTTCACTAAGCAAGAATGGAAGCGAAAAGTTCCTAGAAGAGACAGCCAAAGGAACCGAGAGGCAGAGATGCTAGCAAACCAGAGACCACAGGAGGAAACTCATTTGGATACCTAAGATCCCAACACAGCCATAGAAAACCAAGGGCCAGAGAAAAATTTTGAGGGACAAGGACACAGCATGCTACATAAAAGGGCTCAAATGAGAATACATTTGAGTAAAGAAGTAAAGGAGAATCCTAGGTCCATTTGGAAACAGATGTCCACAGTTTCTAAAATATCGTATACTTCCAAACGCTTTGTTAACCGTTATTTATATTCTCTCAACACTCTGTGAGGTTACTTTGCTATGATTATGCCAATGTAAAAAGATGGAAGCAGAGTTCAGATAGGTTATGCAAGGCACTGTGAAGCTCTTAGGCCAGTTCCAAAACCTCAGTCCCCTGATTCTCATTCCCTGATTCTCAGGCCCCTGATGCCATACCTTTTGCTACTACATGGCACCACCACCTTGCCAGGAACTCAAATTCTCAGAGGACTATGTGCCTAGGACCCTATATTTGGTGTCCTGCAACTGCATGAAGTTCAGTGTGTCAAAAGGAGAAGCCATAGACAATGACAGGGAAGAGGCC